GCTTTATTTAAACCCTTAAAATGGTTGGCAGTCATAATATTTTTTATATTTTACAGAGTTATTTACAAAATTATCGCACAGCTCGAATGTAGGTGACGGCGTGTAACTTTTGATAATTAGATTGTGATCTGTCACAAATAATGAATCTAAATTGCAGTAATTATCCTTAATCAATGTTTTTTTATCACTTTTCACCTGTATTTCCTCATGTTTTTATCATCTCAACTTCAATGCAAAAACTACCGCATCATAATTGTTAAAATAACAGTTTTATTGTCATCAATGATAATAAAAAAACCAAGAACGTAAACAGTTCTGTCTTGAATAATAAACAAACTTGAATATTCAAAAGCAGACACTTTAAAATCTGAAAACAAATAATACTTGAGATAAATTATTAACACTAGGGAAGATAAACTTAAGCTTTGTAAATCCATCGAAAGTCCCTGAGAATGGGCTCCAGGCATTGCGAATTCTGAGTTCAAAAAATAATTAGTACGTTAAGAAAATCATGTTTATTTACAACCATCAAGATTTTGCGCCGAATTAAATAGTTTTATTTACATTTAGTTTTGGCATATACAGTTGTTTTTGCTGTAGGCATGAATATGATATACATTATGCAGTTACGCTCTACAAACGCAAAAGGAAGTCTATTATTATGTTTACGCATCTGCCTTTTTTCATGTACAATTTAACATTTTTAAGTGTAAAAAACAACTAATCAAGCTTTATGATTTAACAAAAAATCATAATCCAACTTAAAACATTTTATTCGCGTAAGAAACAGATACGTGCTGTTTGTGGTTAGAAATTGCGCACTAAAAAAGCGAAGATAAAGATTTACGCAAAACAAGGGCAAAGTTTAGACATTACGCTGAGCGTACGCATCTGTATTATGCTAATTGACGCATACTTTTGTACGTGAACAATACGCCTTATCAGAGTCATCTCTGGTATCCGTCCTGCAGACAAACTTAGATATTTATATTGTTCTCGGTCTATTGCAGAGTTTAAGCTGACATTGAACCTGAAAAGTAAATCACTGTATCCACGAACACCCTGAGAACCTAAGCCTGAGCCTACGTAAACACCCTACCTGAACCTGAACCTGAAACTAAACATGAATCTACATAAACCCAAACCTGAACCTAAACCTACATAAACCCAAACCTGAACCTAAACCTACATAAACCCTAACCTGAACCTAAACCTACATAAACCCTAACCTGAACCTAAACTTAAACCTGACCCTAAACCTACATAAACCCAAACCTGAACCTAAACCTACATAAACCCTAACCTGAACCTAAACCTACAAAACCTAAACCTACATAAACCCTAACCTGAACCTAAACTTAAACCTAAACCTAAACCTAAACCTAAACCTACAAAACCAAAACCTAAACCTCAACCTAAATCTAAACCTAGATTTTAAATTGAATCTTAATATAGACCTAAACCTAACCCTGAAACTGAATCTAAACCTAAATGTTATCCTAATCATAACCCTAAACCTAAACCTAAACTTGAACCTGAATCTAATCCTAAACCTAACCCTGAACCTGGCCCTAAACCTAAACCAAACCTTGCATATTAATAGAATTGAGATTCCCTTTTGAGGAAAATTTGATGAACATATTTGACAAGAAGTCAGAATTATTATACAATTAAGATATTTAAGCAAATTAAGCCGTCGGCCATTTTGTACAAAGTAAGACAATAAGATAGAAGATTGTTAAGTGAACTATGAGTTAATTATTAAGTTCTAAACCAACGGAAATGTTTTATAAAACTTCTTCACTGCTTCTTAATGTATTATGCAGTCGATCTATCAATAAATTTATGAGAACAGTATTCTTAATGTTCTTTGAGTTCTCCAGGATGGTTTTTAGCTAGTTCTCTTCTTCTTATTTCTTGTTCTAGTTCTCAACTCAAGGTTAATTACTAATACAAACAATACACAGCTACTTAAACAGTATAATACACTTCATAGGTTGGGAATAGATTACCTTCCCCCCACCCCACCCCGACCCTGACTAAATTGATTTATTTTTAAATCACAGAATCTTTACATAAAAAGTAGTAATCTCTGTTTGTCTGTTTATTTGTATGTCCAATCATAACTAATGAGCTTCTGGAACGATTTGCCTAAAATTTTGATTGGAAAACTTGGTAGATCCACAGGAATGTTCTGAGCTCGTTTTAAAGGGTGTAATTGTTAATTAGGTTGACTCCAATATGAAAAACTTAGTTTCCAGGTAAAGCTTGGTTCACAAACGTAATAAAGGAATTGAGTTTTTGCCACAAACTCTGATTTTATAATCCCTATATCTTTTGAATCCAATGTCGTAAACTTTGATATTTCAAACTTATATTTGATCTAACAGAATTCATAGTTTGAAATATCTAAGGTCTACGACATTGGAATCCAAAGATATAGGATTTAGAAAAGCAGAGTTTGTGAAAAAGACTCAATTCCTTTACGCTAATTATGTCTCTAAATGTTAATAATCAATACACCAAGTTTATTAATAGCATATTTAATGAGATTATCCACATGATTAATCTATAAAAGTTGAAGGATATATCTCAGAAATGTTATTAGATTTGCTTAAAACAACAATTCAGAATCAGTGTCTAAGGAAATTTTATTGTTAATAATTGACATAATTCTCATTTACTCTATCAATAAACAATTATTTTTTACGAAGAAAATCATAGTAAAAAATAATATTGAACATTTGAATAGGGTACACAGATGAAAAGTTGATCTGATGAATGAGATAAATAGATTAATAGATGAGGGGATGAATAATAGGATGAATGGAAGGCTGTATATGTGAATATTGGGATGGATAAATGGATGAATATTTAATCGACTAGATAAAGAATTTTTGTGAACATTTGTTTTATATATGTACAATCTGCAATCTGCATCAATCATGTATTATTGATAATTCTTGCAAATTTTGTTTGAGAACAATAGAAACAAATTGCTTGTAAATTGTAAGATAGTCAAAAATATCCCCCCCCCCCCTACTTTTCCTTGCCTCACATATTTTCATGATATATTTGGGGGTGAGTATAAGGACCAAAAAAGTGTTTGCAAAGATTTACACTGATTGGTTTAAGTTTAACACTGAAGATCAATCAGTGTAGGTTAACGGAACCCTCTGACCAGACCATCATGCAAGCTTTAAACCATTACTGAAAAACAGTCAAATATTTTCAAATATTTCGAATATTAAATCATTCAATCAATCAATCAATGGTTGGTGTGAAGGATATTTGCGGGAATATTAACAATAAAAAAATACTTTTCTCTCTTCTTTTAAGGAGATGTTCACGAAAATCTAAACGCCGAATCAAAATAAAAAATAAAAAATTTAGAATTAAAAAAAAAATGGTACGAGGCATAGTTAACAATTTGAAATGTTTAGCTTTTTTCTCCTTTCCTTATGAAAGTATCGCAATTAGTGTGCACCGCAGCATGCAGAATGCGGAGTTGTCCCTTTTTTATCAGCTGTGGAGCAGGGCCCTTTCAGAAAGGGCTCCGATCCCTAAGAGGATCAATAAGTTTTAGACGCCGAATCAACATAAATGAGTGCAAAGAGAGCTACCTACTAATAAGAATCCTTTGTTTTTAGTGCTTAAGATTTGGTCTTAAGGACATGAATGCATAGCTAGAAGAAAATGAAATGAACTACACAATTATTCACTTGTCCCCAACTATTAGATCAAAAAGATGTTTTTATATCTGTATCTGAGAGAGGCGAAACGGTTCATGATGATTGTCATTGTTTATATTTAAATTTAAACCCAATATTGTCTCTATCTAAACAAAGTTCTTCGTATCCATGGTTATTTTGAAACCGAATAAAGGCAGATGACATTTTTGAAATCCCAGGACTGGTATTTATTCAAGAACTTTACGTACAAAAATAGGTTGATTTTAGATTGAGAAATTAATGATGATGAAATACGAGCTACCAGTCGTCTAGCTCTCAAATGTCATTTTTCGTGAAACACCCTGTAAATGAATTCATAAAAAGTGAGAACCCACCTCGCCTCGGTCAGACTAATTTTGCACGTTATGCCTTTCTCCAACTGCATAATATGGGTTGAGTAAAAATATTAGTGCACGAGGTCGATATTATCCTAGTTTTTACACAATACAGGGAGAGAGGCGGTTAGGGGGGAGGGGGGACTTCCCCCCTCCTGGAAAATTGGGGGGACGTTCCCCCCTGGAAAAATTAGGAGCGCAAGAAGAGAGTGCAGGCAATTTCTAGTCCTTAAATTTAATTTTAAAAAATAGATTTAAGAAATTCATTCAATTATCCCCCCCCCCCCGGAAAATATCATAAGCCTCCCCTGTTCATGGAATAACAAGAAACATGGGACAATTTTAAACCAAGTTGTAAAATTGTAATGTAAAATTCTTGGTGCAAACTTTCATTTTTAATAACAGTAATATTTGACCCGGGATTCCAGTCATATATTTAATATCCACGATGTATACAGAACTTGAACCTAGTTTGATTCAATAGAATATGTAAACTTTGAAAACTCTGAACCTTTGATCTTTATAGTTCTAGGTATACAAGGATAAGCTTACACACTTAGATCTAGGATATTTGGATATTTGCAACCTGTAAAGGGAGTATACAACTAGAAATACAGAGAACTATTAAAATTTGCATCAATTTTTCTAGACTTGGTCGACTTTGAAGTGTCGCAACCCCTTGTCTTTTGGTTTTACATTACTATACAACTTATGCTTTTTTGTAGTCTAAGACATTTAAATTTTAAAACTACAATGAGCTTGTTTCCAGAATTATTGAGTTATTAGAAAAATACTTTAGCATTACTTTGAGTAAAAAGAACAAATCATCCTAGATTTATGCATTATCTTAATTCATTTACAACCTGCACAACTCCATAAGTCAATTCACATCCTTGCAAATTTTCCACAATTTAAATAATTTATAATATTTCAGGTATGGAGCCCTGCACTCAGAGTCAGGGACGAACCAACCAAGACGCAAGATTTTACGATGGACGAATCCTGGACGAAAGGTTGATATCTCTACATGAGCGAAACCGTCGCGCCAGGATTGAAAACTTGAACCGAAGACAAATGGCGCGAAACAGGATTGATGTCTCACGCACTAACTCGGAATCATCTCGGGTGTATGTTCCACGTCAAGGGGTGAATATGACCCAGATAAATTCGTCCCGTCAGGACCGATACTCAAAAAGAGGGATGAGAAACTGTAGTCCAAGACACGGCAGTATGTCCCCTGGTCGTCCTAGTGAATCTAGAAAGAATTCGTCTTTTGGAGAAAGGACTCCGGGTGGGTTTGCAGACAGGTTAAATAGATTAAACAATAAAAGTGAAATGATTCAGAAAAGTGGGTTTACAACTCTAGATATTGTGGACGGAGATTGTGTGAGGGTGGAGCCGGACGAATATCTGGCTCAGTATCGTCCACCCTCCGCCTCGCAGTTCACACCACATAGACGATACGGTTACGGGAGCTTAACTCAGGGACGATCAAATTTCTTCGAGAATGATGACGACTCCCCCCTGCAGGTGTCGAGTATAGACGGTATTAGCACTAACCTAACTCGTCCAGAGTACAGCTCTGGTCCCTCGTCACTTGAACAGGATCTACTCGTCCGATCTGACAGTCAGTTCTCCCTCCTCACCCCCTCACCCTTCGCTCTTGTAAAAACCCGGGGCGATTACTCTCCAGGAAAGAATGGTTCCACCCTGAACTTAGCTCTAGGTACCCCTTACAGCTCTATCAGGAAGCGGATCAAATCTGTCTCTATGAAATATTTGAAAATGATGCCGAAACTAACCGTGTCCAAATCAAATCACGACACGTCGGAGCCAATTTTTGAGGACATCCGTGGAGACCAGGACGTCCTTCGGTACGAGGACGTCCTTCTTGGCAGCATGGATAGATTAGGGATGGAGGGCAGGGTTGGAGGAAGATCTGAGAGGCTGAGAGTAGACGAGGATGAGGATGAGGATGAGGAGAAGGAAGGAAATACATTAAACATTCAAGCTACAGTTCATACTCTATTTACAAGGTGAGTCCTAGCCCCCGCCCCCCTCCCCAACCCCTATTTGTTTAAAGTGTTTTTTGTTGTTAAATAGGACTCATGAAGCTAGCTCGAAGGTGTGGTCTACTTCTGAACCCAGAAATCATCATTATTCATTAAAAGTAGCGCCGACATAATTCGATTCTGGAAAATTTAAAATTTCACATAAAAATCCAATTTTCAATTCCTGAAAATGGCTCCATTTGTAACCTTTACCAGGCTCGCATTTTGCCACTCCTTGATCCTTATTTAGTAATTTCAACGCTTCTGCATTTAATCCTTCTTTACCTAATTTGAAAACCGTGATTCAAAGGTTGCGAAATTTTTATTTGCGAAACCCTGCCAGTGTTAGCCCTAGAAGAATTAAATGTTGCCAAATCTTTGCGTTGTTTCGCACTTATTCTTTCAATTCTTATTCTTTCTTTGATGATTAGAAATACAAAGTTGATTGTTCAAAATCTACGGTCTCCCTCCCTTCGCACGCTCGAAACAAAAACTTATTTTGAACAAAATTTGAGAATAAAAATGTAATGCCCTTGAAAAGGCCGCAGGCTTAATTGTAGCTTTTTTGAAGTTTTTCCTGCAAAAACTAAGTAAACATATATTTGTTCATTCAAAATAAATGACCCTGAGAGTTTATAATTTTGTATTTAACCTTTAAATGCATTAGTTTTTAAATTGCATTCATTCATTTTATTGATTTTGAATTTACGTGGTTTCCTTTGAAAATTGTGCATAGGTTTTTTTTTATATATCTTGTAAGATAATTTGGTTTCCGTATTGCGTAATTCCGTCATCAATGATTTTATGATTATTTTATTATTATTAACTTACAATAAGTTTTTTTAATTCAATTCATTTTTATCTATTCTTTAGTTATCAATTATCAATAGCAATATAAACTCAATACCCATTAATTTCTCATTAATATTTAATCAAACTTTAATCCTCTTTTCATTTCTTAATTACGTATTCTTAGCAATTCGTCCCGTTTCCCCTTTAATACATTAATTTCTGAATTTTATATCAAGAGTTTCTTTCTTAATTAAAATTCATCAACACAATTTAACAAATGCAACCTCGAAAGTTTCCATGAAGCGTTCACATTTTTTTTATTGTCATGCCAGCATTCCAATCTAGAAACAATAGCAGTCTTTTCAGTCTATATATATTTATAGCTATCCGATTAACATAACCAACGGAGGGGGGACTTCCCCCCTCCTGGAAAATTGGGGGGACGTTCCCCCCTGGAAAAATTAGGAGCGCAAGAAGAGAGTGCAGGCAATTTCTAGTCCTTAAATTTAATTTTAAAAAATAGATTTAAGAAATTCATTCAATTATCCCCCCCCCCCCGGAAAATATCATAAGCCTCCCCTGTTCATGGAATAACAAGAAACATGGGACAATTTTAAACCAAGTTGTAAAATTGTAATGTAAAATTCTTGGTGCAAACTTTCATTTTTAATAACAGTAATATTTGACCCGGGATTCCAGTCATATATTTAATATCCACGATGTATACAGAACTTGAACCTAGTTTGATTCAATAGAATATGTAAACTTTGAAAACTCTGAACCTTTGATCTTTATAGTTCTAGGTATACAAGGATAAGCTTACACACTTAGATCTAGGATATTTGGATATTTGCAACCTGTAAAGGGAGTATACAACTAGAAATACAGAGAACTATTAAAATTTGCATCAATTTTTCTAGACTTGGTCGACTTTGAAGTGTCGCAACCCCTTGTCTTTTGGTTTTACATTACTATACAACTTATGCTTTTTTGTAGTCTAAGACATTTAAATTTTAAAACTACAATGAGCTTGTTTCCAGAATTATTGAGTTATTAGAAAAATACTTTAGCATTACTTTGAGTCGTCCCGTTTATATAGCTACAAGTATTTTTTACCCTATTAATGTTGATTTAAATCATCTGATCTCCCAAACCAACATATCTAAAATAAAAATCAAGACTGAATGAGTTTCAATATCGAATGTGTATAATTAATGACGTATTTGATCGTAATCCTAATTGAAAGCTGAGCGCGCAAACGATGTACGCACGCTGCACTTCGGATCTGCGTATTTATGTCCGTTGTATATCAATGGATTGTGAAGGCCTGAAGCATTCACAATTTAGTTTAACTTTTTCTGTACAGCGGAATTAATATTTTAAACTATATATGAGCTAGGCTTCTGCGTCACAAAACTTGAAGCAAACATTTCTTGGACACTCTGTTTTTTTGCATAAATAATTTATTGTGCATATGGTCTTGCAGTGCGTTGATAAGTCGAGTTGATTTACGAATCTAGTCATACACACTCTTGGTGGCTCAGATCAAAGGCATTATTCTGATTCATCCTTATCCTTACTCAGTTTATAACCTTTACATTCTCATCCTTACTCATTTTATAACCTTTCCATTCTCCTCTTTACTCAGTTTATAACCTTTCCATTCTCATCTTTACTCAGTTTATAACCATTCCATTCTCATCCTTACTCATTTTATAACCTTTCCATTCTCCTCTTTACTCAGTTTATAACCATTCCATTCTCATCCTTACTCAGTTTATAACCTTTCCATTCTCATCTTTACTCAGTTTATAACCATTCCATTCTCATCCTTACTCAGATTATAACCTTTCCATTCTCATCTTTACTCAGTTTTTAACCATTCCATTCTCACCCTTACTCAGTTTATAACCTTTCCATTCTCATCTTTACTCAGTTTATAATCATTCCATTCTCATCCTTACTCAGTTTATAACCTTTCCATTCTCATCCCTACTCAGTTTATAACCATTCCATTCTCATCCTTACTCAATTTATAACCATTCCATTCTCATCCTTACTCAGATTATAACCATTCCATTCTCATCCCTAATCAGTTTCTTACCATTCCGTTCTCATCCCTACTCAGTTTACAACCATTCCATTCTCATCTCTACTCAGTATATAACCATTCCATTCTCATCCTTACTCAGTCTATAACCATTCCATTCTCATCCCTACTCAGCTTATAACCATTCCATTATCATACTTACTCAGTTTATAACCATTCCATTCTCATCCTAACTCAGTTTATAGCCTTTCCATTCTTATCCTTACTCAGTTTATAACCATTCCATTCTCATCCTTACTCAGTATATAACTATTCCATTCTCATCCTTTCCAAGTTTATAACCATTCCATTATCATATCCTTACTCAGTTTAAAACCGTTCCATTCTCATCCTTTCCAAGTTTATAACCATTTATCTCTATATCTATCTTCAACTACTGGTTTCCCACGTTTATTGGTCTAGATACAAATGATAAGGATTAAAGAACCCTAGATGTTCTCCGGGGTGTGGTTTAACAACTCTATTCATCCTTACTCAGGGTTTAGGTTCCGGCTTCCGGGATTTCTGCACTAGATCTTTATCAGATCTTGCAAACCCCTCCCCCTTTCCCTGTTCTTTCATCTTTTCCTCCTTCCTTCTGCATTTTTTTCCCCCTTTTCCTCTTTCCATGTTTTTTAGGTTTTTTTAAATTTTCATTCACTCTTTTTCACTGAACCGTGTCTGGCTATTCTTTTCTATTTATCTATCTAGTTACCTGTCTTTCTATCTTTTATTTATCTATTTATCTATTCAGTTATCTATCTTTATATCTTTAAATGTATCTATCTTTCTATCCATTCATCTATTTATCTTCTACATTTCATTCTACCTATCTATTTATATTTATATCCATTTATCTATCTATCTATCTTTTCTTTAATCTTTAATCAGTTATAGTGCACAGTAAGGTGTCCAACTGAGTTGACTGTGCACTAGTAATTAGTTTGCAATTCTTGTCATTTCCGTGCAAATATCTGTGCATGCATAGGAGACATGATTAATACTTCAAAAAACAAAACAAACATTTAATTTAACAATTACAAGAAAAACAAAAAGAAATGTATTTTTATATTATTAAAAAGAGATATGAGCGTGATGCAATTTTTTAGATGTTATGTACACTGTACAGCTACGCTACATACAATGTACATCCTAATGTATGTACTGGTGAGCAGATGTATATATCCTGATAAATTATGAAAATCTGCCAATTTGTTGTTGACCTGAAACCACAAGCTTAATCAATTTATCACATCTTAAAACCAAACTTTCTCTTGAACATAATCTGTTAAGATTAGCATGCAAACCTACGGGGTGTCCAAGGAATGCTATCAAATTGAGAAAAGTTACAATTTGTTTCAGGAATAAATTAAGATTTGCATCTTAACTTTTCTCGTACGAAACAACAAAGTATCCTTTTAAAAGAAATCAATTGAAATCGTTAATTTCTTAGGACGCTCGAAAAAAAATCCCACAGGTGTCAGTAAAACCAGAAAATATGATTTTCAAAACCAAATTCTTTAATTCAATTACACATTTTATATTTTAAAATGTGGTTTCGTTATTAAATGTTTTATTATTTGATAATTTTTTATCTTTTATAAATGAAAAGTTTTAGTATTAACTCTCAATTTTATATTCTCTAATTTTAATCCACATCAATCAATTCTGAAAATTACTATTCTGACAAGATGTATTTTTCAAGTTTTTGTTTGAATCCATCTTTTTGTTGCAAATTTCTTGGTTTTATTTCCCAAAGAAATTGAAACATGAACTTATTTACAGATTTAATTTTAAATATTTACACAGCTCTGTGTGGGGTCTGCTAAGCTCTAAATCCATTGTGAATCCCGGAGTTCTTTACACTATTTGCATTCTGAACCGCGCCCATTTACAATTTTTACTTTATTGTTAGCTCTAAATATACTTGGTTGTCTTCTTTATAACAAGGTCGTTTCAATCTCTTTACTCCATTCTATCCATATTTACTCCGTTCTATCCATGTTTACTCCGTTCTATCCATGTTTACTCCGTCCTTTCCATATTTACTCCGTTCTATCCATGTTAACTCCGTCCTTTCCATATTTACTCTGTTCTTTCCATGTTTACTCCGTTCTTTCCATGTTTACTCCGTCATATCCATGTTTACTCCGTCCTTTCCATATTTACTCCGTCCTTTCCATATTTACTCCGTTCTTTCCATATTTACTCCGTCCTGTCCATGTGTACTCCGTTCTTTCCATGTTTACTCCGTTCTTTCCATGTTTACTCCGTCCTGTCCATCTTTACTCCGCTTTGCTCATCTTTACTCCATGATATACATCTTTACTTCATCATGCCCATCTTTACTCCGCCCTGTTCATATTTACTCCGACTGTCCATCTTTACTCTGTCATGTCCATCTTTGCTCCATCCTATCCATCTATACTCCGTCTTGTTCATCCTAACTCCGTCTTGTCCATATTTGCTCCGCCCTATCCATTTTTACTCCTTCTTGTCCATCTTTGCTCCATCCTATCCATCTATACTCCGTCTTGTTCATCCTAACTCCGTCTTGTCCATATTTGCTCCGCCCTATTCATTTTTACTCCTTCTTGTCCATATTTACTCCGTCTTGTCTATCTTTACTCCGTCTTGTCTATATTTCCTCCCTCTTGTCTATATTTCCTCCCTCTTGTCCATCTTTACTCCGTCTTGTCCATCTTTACTCCGTCTTGTCTATATTTCCTCCCTCTTGTATATATTTCCTCCCTCTTGTCCATCTTTACTCCGTCTTGTCTATAGTTCCTCCCTCTTGTCCATATTTCCTCCCTCTTGTCCATATTTCCTCCCTCTTGTCCATATTTACTCCGTCTCGTCTATATTTCCTCCCTCTTGTCCATCTTTACTCCGTCTTGTCTATATTTACTCCCTCTTGTCCATATTTCCTCCCTCTTGTCCATATTTACTCCGTCTCGTCTATATTTCCTCCGCGTCCTATCCACTTTTACTCAAAGATAATATATATATTGATATGCAGGCAGGTATAAATTTTGAGGTCTTGAGAAAAGGTGCAAACAGCTCCATCTGTGTCGTACGCATGGCCTTTTATCCTCTGGATTGTTGCTAATTTATCACTTTGTTTATGCGTGATAACACTAAATGCGTACTATAGTATCAACAATGTATACTGCATATTGTACTTAATGAAACAAATTAATCAATGCAAATAAAACTGAGGTAAGAATTTGACTAGACAAAGTTTAAATGTGCAAGTTGTACTGAATGGCATACGTAAATTAACGCAACTTAAATAAAAATTATGACTATAAAAGTACATCGAATCTAGGACAAATTACAACTGAGCCCAAAACTTAAGACAGGGTATCATTATGAAAACTAGTTTTAAAACCCGGGTTTTACGAATGGGATTAGGCAGTTTTGTGGATATCAATATTCTTGTTATGAAATATTTGTTTCTTCATATTCTCCATTTTTTTCGAATCTCTCAAATCAAAATCTACAAAATGTTAAGACCCCAAAAAGGATACTCAAGGGTTTTGTTGAACGATACTCTTTTAAATTTCGGGCTCTATAGAAGACTAAATGTCACAAAGAAATTCAAATACCAAAGACGACTTTCAAGTCGTCTTGCTATTGTCATGTTTCGTGGGACACCCTGTATAAACACCGTCAAATAACGGCATTGTCATTAATTCTACTAAATGGGACTTTCTTAAATTTTTAGTGACAATTTCCATGATAAAATACGTCGAAGATAGTAAAAATATTCTTGATCTTTTGATGTATTGACTCTTTGAAAGCTTATCTATTCTAACATATGGCCTGGAAAATAAGTATGATATGTGACCATTTAGATGTACGTAAAATATGTTTTAAATCCAAATCTAGTTTTAGGATTTACATTTTAGTTAACACATGGTTCATGTTCTCCATAATACAGCTTCAATACAATTCAAATAATATATATTTATTTCATGTTATATAAACAGTTATATGCCATAAAATAAGATATTACAGTGAGTTCGGGGAGGGGGGGGGGTGGTTCTGATAAATAAATAAAAGAAGAATAAATAAGATTTATTTGATAAAAAAAGAGAATTCATCGTCACGCTGCTTTATTCACAGTTCTTTTAGCTGCTCTTCTTTTATCTGTACTATATCCAGTCTTTTCTAATACATTCATTCAAGATACATTTCTTCCTCATACATTCATTCAAGATAAATTTCTTCCTGATACATTCCTCCAAGATACATTCCTTCAAGATACATTCCTTCAAGATAGATTCCTTCCTGATACATTCCTTCAAGATACATTTCTTCCTCATAAATTTATTGATGATACATTCCTTACTGATACATTCCATCAAGATACATTTCTTCCTGATACATTCATTCAAGATACATTCCTTCCTCATACATTTAATGATACATTCCTTACTGATATACATTGCTTCAAGATACATTTCTTCCTCATACATTTATTGATGATACATTCCTTACTGATACATTCCATCAAGATACATTTCTTCCTGATACATTCATTCACGATACATTCCTTCCTCATACATTCCTTCAAGATAAATTTCTTCCTGATACATTCCTTCAAGATAAATTTCTTCCTGATACATTCCTTAAAGATACATTCCTTCAAGATACATTCCTTCAAGATAGATTCCTTCATGATAAATGCCTTCCTCATACATTTATTAATGATACATTCCTTCCTGATACATTCCTCCAAGATAAATTTCTTCCTGATACATTCCTTAAAGATACATTCCTTCAAGATACATTCCTTCAAGATAGATTCCTTCCTGATACATTCCTTCCTGATAAACTCCTTCAAGATACATTCCTTCATTATACATTCCTTTAAGAAACAATCCTTCCTGATACATTCCTTCCTGATACATTCTGGTGATGATATTATTCACAACTAGTTGTTTGTGAATTTCTGATCTGCCCCCTCCCCACGTCATGATCAACCTTGTGTAAGGCTGGCCAGTGTCTTATTAGCTCCAGGAGTAGCTGATTATATGACGAAGGAATAGTGAACTCGTGGATAAAAAGTTTAAGCTTGAGATTGTCATCCTCGTCCAATTCTTGAGTTGTTTCTGACCAGGAGGCTGTGTTTTCGGCCATGGTTCTTTTGTTGTCTGGGGTCACCACTTTAGAAGCACATTTATTGCTTCTAGATATAAATTCATATTAAATAAAGAGTGTATAAATGGAGAGGAAGTTGAGAAGGTCTTCTCCGGTTCTAGGGTCCGACACAACTGATTTGCGGATTTCATAATCCTCTTTTGGGGATTTCATATCCTCTACAACATTCCTATTTCCACCTTGATACAATTCTTTCACGTCACTTTTCTCCTAACACATTCTCCTTTCTTCTTATTCCTGTACATCTGTAACTTTGAAGAATACATTAGTTTCCATAAATGTATACACAAATATTCCGACGGATTGAAAATCTAATTTTTCTCCTTCTCAGGTTCGCAGAAATTTTCTCTAATATTTGCATAGTGCATAATGCAGGTCTGCAGTGCAGGCATATTTTACCCCTAAACTATTTTTTAGAATGTAAAATGTACACAACATACAAACCTGTATGAAACAGTGTTGAAATGTAAACTTGGGGTATTCCACATTTACTGCATTGGGTTTGAAAGAAAGATTTTAAAAGCATAAAATTCCATAAAAATACCTAAAACCTTTCTATTCAGCCTAAAAAGTTTGAATTTGCATCTATTTTTTTGTTTGGAAATTTTTATAGTAAATCTAATTAACTCATTCAGATATTTTTTTTTTAAAAGAGTATGCCCGATTCACAACGGTACCTCTTTAGTTCCTTATCTTAGTAACAATGAGGAAGATATCGTAATTTTGAAATTTTAAGAAAACATATTGAAATATGTGTCTGTTTCAGTGATTTGAACGATGACGAGGATTCAGGGATACTAGCTGAAGGGTCAGATCGGGCCAGCAATAGTTCAGATTCAGGGGCATACCATGTTCATAATAATTATAATGTTATGTCAACTAAAGGAATTTATCAATCTAAAGGCTCTGTAACACCAGGAAAAGAACAAAATACAATCTTCCAATATGCCAAACATCTAATCAATCAATCAATCATCACGGCGTAATCAATTAATTAATGCATCCTGGCACGCACACCCAATTAATGCAGAGTTTGATAAATATACTCCGGCTTCAAGGGATAAATAAACATGTCTAGAGGGTTAGACACGATCTTTAAATAGTTAGATATTTTTCAAATATTTCCCGCGTTTTTGACGCAAATTAAACTCGACATTCCCGCATTTTTGGTCAAATATTTCGGCGCCATGGATGAGAAATGAGAATGATTGAGCGTAAAAGCTATAGATCATGCAACCTTGCACGCAGATGATTCTACTCTTTTTCAAACTTGCCAAACTTAAATTGTTTTGTTTATAAAAATGTCGCATATTTAAACCAAAATTATAATTGGAATGGAATTGAGTCAATTGTCATAAACTCTGATTTTCAAATGCCCATCTCTTTACAACCCAATGTCGTAGACCTTTTATATTTCAAACTACAATTTTTGTTAAATCAAATATTCTAATTTGAAATATCACAGGCTTACATACTAAGGATTAAAAAATTTGAGTCAGATCTTTTATAGTTACAGTCAAAATCGTTGAAATTATTTGAATTATTTTGCTTAACCAAGCTTTTATTTTTTCTCCCCCCCCCCCCCGCCCCCCACCACCCTCATCTTCTGTCTGTTCGACGGTTTTACTCATATCTATTTGTGAATTAATTAGTTTTTACTTCGTATTTGTTTATACAGACTCACCCTCAATTAACCATTCTTATATTCACAATGAAACTTAAACCTCACAAAGAACGTGTGAAAAAATCTGAAAATAATCTGAGCTGAAGAGATAAAACTTGGCGGGGTCCGGGCGTGGTCGTCTCACTCCGTGTTTTTCTCGCAAATATTGACATTCCGTGGGTATCCATCGATACTGGATACTAGGGTGTGATAATAACTCCTGGCAGAGATCCAGTCATTGTTTAAACCTGGAGATTATTTTGTCTGGTTGGTTAGATCAATCCCAGAGCAAGGATGGATTCTCCACCAGCAGTGCTGATACCACGGAGTTTAGTGGAACAGATACAGACTCCGCCCCAACCTCCTCCTCTAGTCCGGAGCAGGCGGAGAGGAAGGAGCGTAAGGCGGAGAAGGAACGAAAAGGGCGGAAGGTTGACCGGAAACACTCTAGAGCTTCTTCACTTGATAGACGGGAAATCTTCCATAAATATATTCCCGGGGGAAATCAACATGCTCAGACTATTAAACCTTTCCAGGTAAAATCCTTTATCTCCACAACCAACATATTTAAGTCAAGTTTTTATCTAATATTCACAATCTATCCAACAAAAAGTAACAAATCTCATTAAGATTTCTATATTCATTATTTCTTAAAGTCTAGCAAAGACTTTAAGAAAAAATTAATATTTAAACAATCTGTACTGTACACTGAACAATGTAATATACCATGTACTGTAATGTACTGTACACTGTAATATATCATGTACTGTAATGTACTGTACAATGTAATATATCATGTACTGTAATGTACTGTACAATGTAATATACCATACAAAAGTTCACAATAATTCTACTTTATTAAAGATCGTTTGTTATACTTTGATATTTCTAGAATTACAGTCATGAGTTGAAGCAGGAGAGCTGTAATAGTAGTATCCCAACCCTGGGAAGGAAAGAGCTCCGTGTTGTTCAGCTCCGGGGGGTTGGATCCCGCCGTATTGGTATCCAGGTTGCCCGGATACTGGTGGAGGAACTAAACTGTGAAGGATTCTTCGTAGTAAATATTCTACCTGGAGGAACAGCTCAAGGGTAAGCATTAAGCATAAATATATATTTTAGAAAACCAGGGAAATTATAAAAATCAACTAGTTCACAGCTCACAATCTAAATCAAACATTGCCATCTCTGTCCAAATAATCTGATTCTTATCTACCATGTGTTTTCTTCTACTTATGCTACTCTTTGCTTCATTTTATGTTAAGAAATTGAAAAATGTGGTTACAATATTTGGAATTTGTTATTTTTAGTTTTCAGATTAAAGAAATTTAATCAAATTTGAGATATTTAATTCAGCTCACTAGAAATTAGTTGTGAAGGAAGTTTCAGAGTCCATAGATAATTAGCTGTTGAGGTTTCAGGGCCCATTGGTAATTAGAAGTGAAGGTTTCAGGGCCCATTGGTAATTAGTAGTGTAGATTTGAGGGCACATTGATAATTAGAAATAGAGGTTTCAGGGTTCATAAATAATTTTTAATGGAGGTTTCAGGGTCCATAAATAATTAGTAATGTAGGTTTCATGGTTCATAAATAGTTTGTTATGGAGTTTCAGGGTTCATAAATAGTTTGTAATGTAGGTTTCAGGGTTCATAAATAGTTTGTAATGTAGGTTTCAGGGTTCATAAATAATTAGTAATGGAGGTTTCAGGGTTCATAAATAATTAGTAATGTAGGTTCAGGGCCCAACATACTGCGAACTTTGACGGTTCAATCCAAGACCCTTCTGGGAACAGGGAAATTGCACTCGAAATTTTGCAAAGAAATAATTGCATTGTTTGAATGCATTTTTTCCATTATTTACATACTGCAATTCCGGTCTAGGCATTGTAGAGGAGAGGGGAACTGATGGTGCTTTTCCTTTTCTAAAATCTTTTTTATTTTATGTTTTCCATACATTGTACACCTCCATTTTTACCCATTACTGTTTTACCTTTATTTTGTACCTCCATTATTACCTTTAATCCCTCCATTATTACCCTGTATAACGTATATGTCTATATTATTTCCATGTACAGTGTAAACTATAATCTCCATTGTTACTAAGCATACCTCCATTATTTCTCTTTGCAACTCGATTGTTACCTTACATACCTTATTTATTGTTCTGTTCAACTTCACTTTTCATACCTCCATTATTACCATTTGCAACTCCATTTTTACCCTGCATAACCTCCATTATTGCCCTGTGCCACTCCATTATTACCAATTTTATTCGTACTATACTATCTGTATCCCTCCAACCCCCCTTGTGGAGTTTTTTTTACGTCCTACTCCTGTGTAAAGGAAGGTTGGCGAGGAGAAGATGGATGTGTTTAGTACGGAGGAGGGGGGTTGGTTAGCGCTTTTATTGTTCCATCACGATACTTTCTTTTGTTTTATTGGCTTCATTTGTTTGTTTGATGTTTGACATTTCTTCATGCTTCTTTGATCCAGGTTCGACCGGATACTACGGATTTCAAGATACACTTGATATAGATTTAGCTGAGATGAAACAGGACTGATCATGTCATTGATAAAGATCTTTTTTTCGATGAAAATTTCAGCACGAGGTCAAACATGAAAAGGGTTCATGCCTGTAGACTGATAATTAATTAAAGGGGTTGAGTGGGCAGTAAACGCTATGGTTTTTAATACAAATTCTTTTTTTTTAATCTCCGTGAAATATGTAAAAACAACAAAATCTAGAATAATGCGTTTTGAAAACAATATCCAAGCCAAGTCAAAATAATTTGTATCGTTATAAATCATTCTCAAAGTGATGATTGGAAAATAATCATACAGTACAGTATAACCTTATTTAGAAACTGAGATTTTCATGGATTTATTTTTTATATTTCTCATTGGAAATAACAATTCTTGTCAAATATAGATGTTATTCGTCAAATTGACTTTATCTACAACTCTTAATTCACCAAATAAGTGCCATAAATGATTTACAAAAATAGGAGAAATGATAAGTTTTCCGTCCGAAATTAAATAAACTTTAGACATTTTCTTTCTTAATTTTGCTGAGAAATTCATAACTCGCTTCAAATTGTGTTTGTTCTTCCAAATATTTTCAAAAATGGTTTAATTTTATCCAAATGAAATTTGAAATTCCACTTTAAAATTATAAAACTTTAAGACAATTAAAAGATATTTTTTAAAAATAAATTAAAGCATTCAAAAGTTGGCTATGGTTATGTTTATATGATTTTCATTTTTGAAAGGAAAAAACTAAAGATAATTCAAATAATATTTTTTAAATAAAAGAGAAATAACGTGAGCTCTTTAAAACTGTTCCCGCATATTCATGGCTATTTATTTATTTTCGCAAATACTGAGATTTACGTAAGATAGTGTAAAACCCATTGAAAAATTGTCAAGACGACATTTGATAAATTCTATGTATGGCTCATTTAGGGTTTAACTGTAAGTACGCTGAATCCATGTGCAATCCCTTCATGCTTTTGTCAGTTGTTACACCTTTTACAGTATATGGGTGGTACGAAGTTCATAAATAAAATACAATTTCATTTTAATATAGTTGTAGAAATATTTAAATCTAAACCAAAAAGAGGATCCATAAAAAGTTGAGTACATTACTAGGTTGTATTTCTATATTGAATATATCTATATTAGGAGGGTGTAAACACTAAATATATTGCACCTGTCCACTTTTACAAGTTAAAAGTATATTTTTTCTATTTTTTTCTATTCTGCCAAATAACCTCATACATTCAAGCCAAAATAATAGATATTGCAATCTGTTTGCAGTTTTAACTTGACATTTTTCAGCATTAATTCACAAATAACACAATACAGTGGTAGGCGACAATATCAATACAATAAAGACGACTTTTTTATTTAGATTTTGATCATTAACAAGCTTTTTTCGAATTAGAAGTGTATATGTAATCAAAGAGAAGCTTTTTCAATCGACAGCTTCTCTTGAATTCTTTATTTTTGTGTATCCATGTGCTCTAACAGCTTTATTTAAACTAAAATTGAAATCAAAAGTCGTCTTCATTGCATTGATATAATCGCCTTCCAGTGTATATTATATTTAAGATATATTATTTACTTATTTATGATTAAAATTTTAGGAACAGATTTGATTTTAAATATAATGAAAAGGGCAATTCATAGATGATAATTTAAAATATATACATGGTGATTCAAAAAAAAAGTGTGATTAGCGGCGCTTGGTGCAAAATTGTACATTTTTTTTGTAACTCTCCTGTATGGTGTTTTTTCAATAATTTTGATATTTTTTTATTTTTTTGTTACTCCTATGGCCCAAAAAAGTTGCACAAAAAAGTACAATTTTGAATATGGCGCCGCTAATCAACCTTTTTTTACTCACCCTGTTCATAGATAAATAATTTGGTATGATTGTACAAAATAAATCATTTGCACTTTGGATTCCTTCCAAATGCACTTACTCAACATTCTGTGTAACAGAAAATATGGAAACATATGACTGCATATTTCATTTTTTTAAATTAACAAAGAATAAGCATAACGCTATGATTTGATAAAAAAAAAACTAAGAAATAACATGTTCAAAGAAAGAATCTGGAAAATCTAAAGCTAAATTTTGTTTGAGTTAAGTAAAATATTGAAGCACATGAGAGAGAAATCCTAAGTCAACATTGACACTAAGTTATTCAACACAACTAAAGATGAAATCTAAAGAAATTCTTGAGATATTTGCCCCCCCTATATCAAAATTATTAAAGATTATAAAATGAAAATACATTTGTACAAAGAATGTACCAAGAAATCTTATCATATAAAAATAATTTTAACTTGTTTTAGTATTATGAAAAAAGAAGTTTTTTTAACTTTTTATATAGAGAAGGGAAATTCAACTTTTTTCAAGGCTTTTTTAAATGCTACGTTTTTTTAACATTTTTGCAATTTTTCACTTGTTTGTGTAATTGTACAGTGTAGATACAAACTACATTAATCGTTTAAATTCATTTTGATATTCTTCTTTTTTTTTGTTCATAAAAAGAATCATTCTTAAAAACATACAAAACTAAGCTGAAATACGTAATAATGAAATTATTTGAAGAATTAGCTTCAAATTAAACATTTCAATATGTTTCAGAATCTCACTATGCATGGTGTTTCATGCCTTGCAGAAACTCTCAGTAGATTATACATTAAATTTTATCATTTGAGAGTAAAAATAAATATGACAATTATACTTCTTTTTCACGCCTGCCAAAATAAGAATAAAATTTTATAGATTGTAAAATAGATTTATTTAGATTTATAGATTGCAAAATTTTTAGATATACCACCTTACCTGGATACCAGTATAATATACAGGGTGTTCTAATAATCATTGGATTTAAGTGACAACTTTCATATCGTCTTTTTACCAGGCGGCCTTATTCCAAAATGTGGTCTACTCCTTTTTTACCTTAAACTTGACTGATGTATTGAGAGAGGGATTGATCGGGTGTCTCCCAAAAACTCTGATTTTATAATCCCTACAATCTTATGTGCAATAGAATAATAGAATATATAGTTTGAAGTATCAAATGTCTACGACATTGGGTTGCAAAGTTACAGGGATAATTAGAGTTTGTGGCAAAAACTCAATTCCGTTTGCAGATTCCTTGATTTATCAAATAAAAACAAAATTGTACAAATTTGTCGATGTTAAAGGAGAAGAGAAGGAATACTACATTTTGAAAAGTCGCATGTTTATTGGGACACTTTGTGTGTAGATGAATTTGAATATGAAATATGGATTACCCCCTTCCCCCCCCCCTCTCACCACACCCACTTATCTCCAATAATACGATAATAAAATATAATGTAGATTAGGTTTTATGACAAGCTACCATGTAGGAATTCAACCAGTTTCAGCCAGGATAATAAGATTTGGGATGCGCGCACAAAAACCTCTCTTGAATACGCGCGTTTTGGTATTAGAAGCGCATAAATTAGATTATACAGCAGAATAGGTTAGGCTACGCAAAACTGCGTGAGTTGAAGCTAAATTACTCTATTTAGTTTGAAGAGATTTGGACGCT